AAGAAAACTATTTTAAGCAACCATTTACAGTATACATCCACTTATTCCATATCCATCACATAATAGAGTATGCCACCCCTCACTAACTTGAATTTTCGTGTCCAGACCGGCAGTAAGCTTTTTCAGCTTTGACTTAGATGAGCCCCAGTGGATTCAAATGCTAAGTGAACAGATGTGGAACCATTTCAAAAGGGCTTGTGCCATTTCACTTTGTCCTTGAACACAACTCTCCTCTGCACTTTATGAACAGCCTAAGAAAGTCACACAAACCTCTTTGTCATTAGTATAATTGCACTTGATAAAGGCAGAGAGCTAAAGAATAAACAGTCAATGAAGACAAGGGGTCAAATTAGAATATTTTATTTTTGCCAAAACTGTTATTTTCCACCACATGTAAATGCAGACTAAACCCCCCTCTCAGACACTCACATGTCAAAAATATATACATTAAATTAAAAAATATATATATAACCCACATGAACACAAAGACTTGTATCTATGATACCCATCAGTTGAATTTTAAATCACTCATGATGTAAATATAATGGGGCTTGCAGATGCAAAATACAATATGTACATCTATACGTAATGTTTGAAACATGGAAGACATAAATTATTGCAGAAATGACCTTCATCCCAGTGAGAAACTACACTGATCAGCCACAACATAAAACCACTGGCAGGTGAAATGCATAGCACATTAAGACATTACAATGGCACCTGTCAGTGTATGGGGTATATTAGACAGCAAGTTAACAGTCTGTTCTTGAAGGTGATGTGTTGGAAGTAGGAAAAATGGGCAAGGGTTAAGGTCCAAGTGACTATAACAAGGGACAAACAGTGAAAGCATGGTGACAAGATCACAGGATCTCCAAATCAACAGGTCTTATTGGGTGTTCCCAGTATGCAATGGTGAGTACCTACCAAAAATGGTCTAAGGAAAGACAACTGTTCAACTGGCGACAGGTCATGGGTGACCAAAGCTCACTGATGCACGTGGGGAGCAAAGGCTAGACGACCATGAAGCAATGAAAGGTGGTGGCCTTGTCTGATGAATCATGTTTTCTTTTACATTGTGTGTGTGTGTGTGTCATTTACCTGGAGCCTGTCATTTACTATGGGAAGAAGACAAGCCAGCAGAGACAGAGTGGTGCACTGGGAAATGTTCTGCTGGGAGCCATTCAAGCAGATGTTACTTTGACACATACCATCCACCTAAATATTGCTGCAGACTAAGGACATCC